ACAACAGTGAAAACTCAAGATTGGGAGCATCTACCCAAGGGGAAACTTCACGGAAGTGTCACAAGATGAATCGCAACATGCACAAGCACTCACAACAGTGAAAACTCAAGATTGGGAGCATGTACCCAAGGGGAAACTTCCCGGAAGTGTCACAAGATGAATCGCAACATGTACAAGTACTCACAACAGTGAAAACTCAAGATTTTGAGCATCTACCCAAGGGGAAACTTCACGGAAGTGTCACAAGATGAATCGCAACATGTACAAGTACTCACAACAGTGAAAACTCAAGATTGGGAGCATCTACCCAAGGAGAAACTTCACGGAAGTGTCACAAGATGAATCGCAACATGTACAAGCACTCACAACAGTGAAAACTCAAGATTGGGAGCATCTACCCAAGCGGAAACCTCACGGAAGTGTCACAAGATGAATCGCTACATGTACAAGCACTCACAACAGTGAAAACTCAAGGTTGGGATCATCTACCCAATGGGAAACTTCACGGAAGTGTCACAAGATGAATCGTTGTCGGGCGAATTGGTCCGGCACCGCACCAGGGCAGCCAGGACCCTCTCGGCCGCGTCACGCAGGAGTTGGTCTAAGCCCTTCGTCGCAAAATATACATGGAGCTTCCACAAAGCCGCTCCGGCCGAGTGCGCCAGTCATACCTCTCGCGAGCCCCTACAACAGGATAGGGCCTACGCGAGGCAGGACTTACCTCCACCTTACGGGAGCTGTCACCTACCTTCGGTGGGCGTATCCCCGCCGAGCTACGAGTCCACAGTACGAAAGCTAATCAGTTGCAATCGCAGGGGTGGACCAGCCGAGGGCGTTTCTCGTTTGCTGTAGCATAGGGGGTACGCTCAGTAATACGCCTTTATCGGACCCGCGCGAGAACCGACATCCTGGGGGGCTGAGGTCCCAGGCGCGACTCGTCGTCGGTCGACTAGGACGCATCCCACACACCACGCGCACTCCACTTTACAAACACACATACACATAAAACAACACATATACGAAATGACACAGCACAAACAACGCGACAACGCTCCTAGCCCCTCGATAGCCAACCCATAACTTTCCAATGCGGAAATCAAATAGGCGTAGCGCGCGAGACTTAGTATAAAACCGCACGGACGCAGTGCTAACTCATATCGACTCGCAATGCAAACGTATGCAAGCGGTCGCAATGATGGCGTACTATGTAGTACCCATACTTATGCGGTCCTCGTTAATCTCGAGGGTCGCATTGGACACTCAAGTGTCGGCTGACACTCGCCTTGAGGGTTAATCTCTCGACGCTGAACAACCGCCATGCGCGGTTGAAGACCACACACCCTCTTGTGCACCTTATGCAGAGCGGGTGGTACACAGGTGCACACCTGTGGTGGCAGTCGTTTCTTGCGGCCCTGGGATGAGTCCACCCCAGGCCTGGGCGAAAGTCAAGGGGTTTGACTTTGACGGCTGTCACGGACTACAACGTCTAACCATACAACTCTAAAAAGCAAGAGCCAAAGGGGAAATCCCCCTTTTATCTCAAGGCATAATCTGGCTAACCCTTATGCACAATCACAGTAGGTCTCACAAATATTTGGGGTACCTGTAAATATATGAGGTTTGATTATATAGGACGATCACTTCTCACAGTCACAGCGGGGCTCCTCTCAACCACATATGTATGTAATCGCAGGCAATCACGTCCAGAGTTCGAACCACAAACGCACCTGCAATCACATCAAAGATTCATCCAGAAGTCCACACACTACACAGGGTCGATTTCAATCATTCTCTGTACTCATACCCCTTGCTTTGGCCATGCAAGCCTCAACCTCAGCGCAACCTCCCCGCAATAAAAATACTTAGTATCTTCGTTAAAAGGCCATTGAATAAAGTCCGGGTAAAAACAAAACAAAACAAATAAACCACAGGGCTAAAGCCTTTAGGTTGAGTGACAGGAGTGAATTGGAGTTGAATCGCAAACCGACGAATTGACAACCGACCTGTTATCAGTGATAACAGGAGATGATCCTCGTAGGATCAAGCTGAAACTAGTCCAAATCCTGAATCCAACGACCCAACAGACATGTAACACAAGACAGGTCAATCCCCAAGCTAAACCTATAAGTCAATGGAGAATAACTCCCACATCATGATCTCACCAAAATCGCTCTACTTAACTAAACCTGAACCTACCTCTAAGCAGTGCCCAAAGCAAAGGTAGACCCTGACATAATCTTCTTTATACAAGGTGGATTGCCAGAATCGCCACCTGTTAGAACATAATCTATCTCCTCTAAATCAGAAAAATTTCGGCAGCGCTTCCCGTAGGAAAAGTGCCTCTCCAGAATTTATATAAGTTCATATATGAAAGCAGAAATAATACCTAACTCTGGAAAGTCAAACTATGTATAACTTCATGAAATAGCAGAAATTGGGGCAGCATTCCCTTTAGAAAGGGAGGCTTTCCAGATTTATACTAAGTCAGATATGAAGGCAGAAATAGTCTCTAACTTTGGAAATTCAAATTCTGTCTAACTCCCTGAATCAGTAGAAATTTGGGCAGCATTCCCTTCAGAAAGGGAGACTTTCCAGATTTATACTAAGTCAGATATGAACTTGAACAACAGCTCGAGCTCAATTTTAGACAGAATTTAACTAAGGCTTTCCAAATTTATACTAAGTCAGATATGAACTCGAACAACAGTTCGAGCTCAATTTTAGACTGAATTTAACTTACTCCTTAATTTCGTAGAAATTTCGGCAGCACTCTCTCTAGAAAAGTGTTATTCCAAAATTTATACAAGGCTAAGTTCAGAACTTGAAAATAACTTTGACTTCTCAAAGTCCAATTTTGTCTAACTCCCTAAATTAGTAAAAATTTGGACAACACTCCCTTTAGAAAATGAGACTTTCCAGATTTCTACTAAGCCAGATATATGGAAAAGACAAGTTGAATTTTGACAAGTCAAAAGTTGACTAACTTCTTGGAATTGTAGAAATTTCGGCAGCGCTTCCCGTAGGAAAAGTAGCTTGCCAAGATTTATACAAAGCCAAGTATAAGAAAAAATCTAAGAAAATGCAGGAATTGACCTAAGTAAAAAAAAGTTATTACAGAAAATGCAGGAATTGACTCTAACTCCTACGACTCTAGCACATGACGAGCAACTAAAGCAACTACCTATAATACTGAAGCCCAAACAAACTAGTCATCCCATCCAGTCACATGCAAACCAAACCACGAATGTAAGTACTCTCACCATCCCCACTTCATTCTATATAAATAGTTCATGAACCTTCAAGTCCTTGAATCCTTATACCCATCTTACATAAGACATAGAGCTGGACCATTCGTCATGGAAACAATACCCAACTTGTCTTTATGATATACACGAACAGGTTGCACAACTACTTCTCTCTTCTTTTGGGCAGATGACTAGGCCATTCGCCATGGAAACAATGCCCTGTCGCCCTGAGCTGTTTAATATCCAAAATTTAGTATTTCTCTGACTGTGTTTTCAAAAAGGGAAGCAAATATGGGCAGGGAACTGAACCATTCGCCATGGAAACAATGTTCAGCTTGCCCAAAAATATTTTCATTTATACTTCGTATTTTTCCCTTTCTCTTCTTAATGATATGGCTTAACGCTGGACCATTCACAGTAGAAACTATGTCCAGCTGCCAGTTCACATGCAAATATACATAAAGTACTTTCCTTTATACTTAGTTTAGTTCACGTGTGTGGTTTTCAGGCTAAACCATTCACAGTAGAAACAATGCTTAACCTTAGACCAGAAATCCTCCCTCAGAGTAAAACAGGAATTTAAACCCCTTCAATTGGGCAAACCCCCAGAGTTAACTAGAGTAAACAGGCCATTCACGGTAGAAACAATGCCTGGTCCTCCAGAAAACAACTAGATAAACATAGCAACCAGGCCATTCACAGTAGAAACAATGCCTGGTCCTTCAGAAAACAGCCAAATAAACATAGCCCTGAGCCCTTCACAGTAGAAACAATGCTCAGGCTTTGGTTGACCCTTCCAAACGCATGCCAAACTGCCTTCCTCCCACCTTCCCCCAATTCATACCTTAGTCTGCTTTCAGTCAAAACAAAAGAGAAACCTAAACTTCACTTTCACACATTCCTTCCATTCAGTCTGATTGGGTCCTGAAGGGAAAACAAAACCCATAGGGACAATCTCATGCATACAGCAGTCATATTACAGGGAGATACGCAAAACATGGGTGGTAGTAGGTTGTACAGATGGAAATGGTTTACCTGACGATTCCGTGCCTTCAAAACTCCTCGTGAGTTCCGGCAGAGCTCCCGCAATCGATGGGGTGAACCTCCCACAGAGGCCTTGGCGCGGACCTACGGGTTGCAATCCCGCCTGCCGCCTTCCTCTCGTAACCAGGGACTAGACTTTGAGTAAGAAGGGCAGAGAGAGAGAATTTGAGTCGCTCAGATATAAGACGGGTGCACTCAGACTCGCGTGAGAGGGCCCCGTTATCTTGGATCGCCTGAGGGCCCCGCAATGGCGGGCAAACAGCACAGCTTGGTCAACTTCTGACGTCGAACTGCCGACGTCAATCCTTTGACGACCTCCCAAGCCGCAGCCCTAACCCCCTCTTTGTCCAGTCTGATCACTTCCTCGAGCCTCAACACCTCTCCTCAGCCCAACCGCGGTTGTAAATCAGCCTGAATCAGTAAGTAATCGTCGTGACAGTATACAGTATTTGCAGCAACCAACAGCAATCAACAGTTTCATTCGTCAACCGCAGTCGACCACAATCCCCTACGGTCAGTAGCGGCAGGCCTCCAACACGCAGAGATAGGGCGCGCAGTCCTGCCACAGCAGGCCCACAGCCTACAACCATGTTGCAGTAAGCCCGCAATCCGTTAGTCCGTTAGTCCGCCGTCCCCAGTCCATAGTCTGCAGTTCACTGCCCACGGCCCTCAGCCTCCTTCCGGCTCGTCTCGCTTCATCCATCTCACCACTCAGCCAACGCCAGCTTGCAGGCTAGCGGCCTCTTCTTTGCTGCGTCTAGTCGTGTAGAAGGAGTGATGCGCCAGCCTATGGGTAAGTGCTCGAGCCTGCTCCCCGCTTGCAGCCTCCTTTCCCTTCCGTTACGCAGTTCATTCGTCCGAGCTGCGCCCTGGCTAGAGGTAAGCCCTCAAACTCTGTTGCTGCCCCATCTTCAGTTTGAGCGGCCTACTTACTCTCGAATCAAAACCCCGCTGCTGAAGCCGGAGGCTTTACCAGCTTGGAGAATACGGTGTGGTAGCTGCAGTTTCGCCACAGGTTTAGGCTCCTTACCAATGGAAACGCTGACACCTCCGTCTCCTTAAGGTAAGCACTCGCTCACTCTATCTCTCCCAACTTCCATATCCGTTTCTCTTTCTCGCACTCTCTCTCCCGTACACCCTCACACCTTCGTGTCCTACTTTCACACTCCTCTCTCCCATTCACTACGGGCCCACGTCTCCCTTCTCTCGTTCCCTTCTAATCACACGGAAACTTCAACCATAACTCGTTGCTCAACTACTTACTACGCATCTGGTCATAATCAAGACTAGATGCATACGTAGTCGAAAGGAGAGATCTTTAGTGGGAACAGTGCGGCCACCGGTGGTTCTATATCACGATCTTATCTTCAACGTCGACTAAAACTGTGACAGGACACTACGATCCTATTGGCCAGGTGGGCTACGGTGATCCGGACGAATTAGCATGACACAGTGGTTGATAGCGAATCTGCTACACTACTCACCAGATGTACAAGCCGAGGATGAACTTTCCACTAGGAATCGGGTAGGTGTATTTGACTAGTAGTCGTAGCCATACAGTGCCACGCAATCTCCCAGCACACCCGGCTACCTCATTATTTCTCTCCCTCGCTGCACTTTTCTTTATCCTACATTTATCCTGCGCACTTTCTAGTCCAGATTCATCTTCCTTCTTTCCTCCTCACTCCTCGCAGTCTATCTTTCCTCTAACTCCTATCCTACTAACTTCCGCTCTAATCTGACTTCGCCATCCTATTCGCAGGGGTCGAAAACCTCCAACTGACACTCGAGCTCGCCCGATTCCATCATGAATCGAATGGGATCTCGTTTCTTACCACTGCCATCTCCATCGCGTCCCGACACCCCCGCGCAGCCTATAACCCACGTAACTCCAAATCTACCACCTCACTGCTCCTTCCGACCTCGTCATCCAACTCGCGGCACCTTAAAACCCCCGAAACGAAACTTGATCCGTCGAAAATGGTCAAGAAATGACCGCCCTTCGCCTTCTTTGCTCCCCGCCATATCCCGGCGCATTAACTTTTCTTCCTACCCACTTTTCTACTAACTTTCTACTCGAACTAAGGTCACATTTGGATTCGCCCAGCCAAAAAAAAACATAGCATCTGCCTTCCTATGTTCAATTCTGTCAAAATTTGGGTAGTATTCTCGATTTCTCGTTTCCTTTAACTCTTTTCCGCCATAGCTCCCCACGCACCACTTCATCACTAACCTCCTGTTCTACTAATCTAATGCCGCATCTGACTCCACCACCGCGCTCACACCATGCCAAAACCCCTATCTGCTGCCTTAGTTCACTCGATTCCAACAAGGAACGAGTGAGCTAAGCCCTCTCCATCTGGCCATACTCGTCCCTTCTTCTGCGTGTGCACCTGACGAGAGGGCCCGTTCGGATTCATCCACCGTGTTTACTGCCTCAACACCTGCCAACCCGCGCTGCCCACCTTGCCTTCTCCTGCCCGTTGCCACACCGCGCCACCCGGCCAGTCCCTCCTACGGAACACACACCTCGACGCCGGCCCTATCCAGGTGCATCCCCGCTCCCCCTCTCATCTTTCGCACCGCTGTGACCCCTAGCCCTGCCATACCCCGTCCTACGGCTCCGCCACCGCGCCCACTGTTGCTGAGCGGGGCTCAGCCAGTCTCCGCCATCCCCAGCTCCGAAAGCACCCTCGCCCCAACAACGCGCCGGGTTCACTGGCTCCCTCGCACCTTCGTTACCTCAGCGCCCCGCTCTGATCAGAGCCACCAGC